ATAATAAGGGGTTCGTTAAAGAAGGTGATCAAAGAGCTGGAGGCTGGCAATCAGAAAGGGTCTCATGGTCCAGTTTCAGAAGATTCAGATTATAGGAAGATGATGGATGACTTCATAATATGGCAGGAGAAGACCCAGAAGAAATCAAGACCTTAACCTGAGTCCAGGTGGAACTAAGGGAGAGAGCTAAAGAAAAAGAGGACTCTCCACAGAGCCATTTCCCTCAGCCAGTGCAAAGATGCCACATACACTCCCTAATGTAGATCGTCCTAGGGGAAAGCGAAAAGGGAAGAACCAGGAACTTGAGTATTCTAAAGGGAAAGAGGTTAATTAAGGAGTTACTCAATTAGTTTAAATTGGGACTTTTTACTTCCCTCTATCTCAGGTGATGGAATCTTCCATGCAGTTTCATCCTGTTATTAGAAAAGGAAGCCACACATCTCCGATCTGAGTCCTTGGGCTCAGGATTTAGTAGATTGTTTCTCCACGGTTCCCATTATCCTTTGCCAAGACAACTAGACTTGCCTCCTAAATGGCTCTCTGCTTTCTTTCAAAGCCTTCCTGGTCTGTTCTTCACAAAGACCAGTGAGTGGGCTTTACATATCAATTAGTCATGTAATTTCATTTCTTACAACTTCCTAATGGCATTTCTAGTGGAGAATACCCACTACCATGGCTCTGAATGAATTGCCCACCACCTTCTCTAGTGGTCTTTCTCTACCTTGAGACCAGACTTTTGCACTCTTTGTTTAGAAATCTCTTTTCCAGGATGTCTGGAATGACTATTTAATTGTACAGTATTTCTTCTGGACTCAGCTCCTCTACATTTATGTAAATATAGTCATTTCTGAATACCCACTGAAAAGCATTACCTCATTCCCCCACCCCTTCCATTTAACCTGTCACATCAGCTCAATTATTTCCTTGCTAGTACTTGTAATGATGTTCGGTTGATGGCATCTCTATCCCTCCAGTTGGATAGACCCAAATCTTGGCATCATGCTTGACTCTTTTCTTCATCTCCACCATTTGATTAATCAGGGAACACTGATGATTCTTTCCCGAAAATACAGTTTATCTTACTCCTTTCCATGTTCTGCTACACTCTTGTCATGGTCTGACCCACATATCTCTCACCTGGTTAATAGAATAGCCATCTAATTGGGTTTCCTGCTTCTACATTTGTCTTCTTACAGTTTCCTCTCAAGGAAACAACCAAAATGACTCTTCCAGTGGTTCCTTGATCCTTCAAAAGTGAAATTCTTACAGCCCACAAACCCTGACATCATGCATCTCCCATTATTTCCCTAGCTTTTTTTTTTGGTACTGTTTTATGTTGCTAGCGTCGAACTCTTGAGGCCACAATTATTATCTTTATTGTTAACTAATATAATCGGTGTACCTAAAAGTATCAGGCATATGGTAGCATCTTGACATTTATCTGTGGATTAAATGAATTCATCTTGTTTATTTCTTTATCACTTATATTTCTGTCTCTGGAATATAAGGTACATGAGTACAGGCTTCTTACTGGTCTTGTTTAGTAATGTATCAAAAGAGTGCTCAGTATATAGTAAGTACTCAAGAAGTTCTTATTGAAATATACACACATCTGCTATGAAAAGATTAATGCATTTTCTTATACTTTACTAATTTAATGAATATATTACGCACAGGTAGCATTATTTTCATTCTTCATGATAGACTTGTATTAATGGTAAAAAAAGAATGTTATATGGTAAAGTAAAAACTGAATTGTTCATATAAATAGAACTTCATGGGAAGCGATATATAAGGCCATGATTACTCCAAAGTAACAACTATGTAGTGAACTAGAAAACAGTATCACAATTCTTTCCACAGTTTGCCCTGCTGCTGCTTAATTTTCTAAGAATGAAAAGGTACCACTTTGGTGTTATTTGTAAACTGCTCACTCTGGGGTTATTTGGTTGAGGTGAATGCTTACAAAAATGAGAAGTCATTTTAGTGTATAAGAGCACTTTCTATTCTTGAGTAATTCACATTGGCAATGATTGACATAATCTATTTTGTTTTACATGTGCATCGAGAGGTATTCATATCTATATGTTCCTGTGTGCAAATGAAGTGGATTCAAAACTATTCTCTGTGATTGTTTGTATTGTAAATCTCTCCAGGGTTTCTTCAGCATTCTCAAAAGCAGTTCCTGGCACCAAAGGGAAAACAGAAAAGTTGAGATGCAATTTTATCTCCCAATTGAACTTGATTAAATGGGTACTGTTCTAATCAAAAGTTTAAATCCTGGAGGAGTGCAATGTTACTAACAGGTTTGAGAATATCTGAGAACAGAGAGGAAGAGTATGAAAGTTAAAGCAGGGAAAGAATCAGGCATAAAAATAATTGTAGTAAAGCTTTTTAAGCCATACAATTAGGTGAACAAATTGCCTCCCAAATTGTGTTAAGCTCATTGCTAGACTGGCAGAAGAATTGGAGGAAAGCTATTTGAAACATTATTTTTATTATTTTAATAATTTGTGTAGGAATCATAGTAGCTGCAATCTGTTAGCCAGAAACAACTGCCAGCTGGTGTCATCCTAGAGTAACTATAGTAGGCTGAATGCAAATATGCTTTTCCTTTTTACCCGGAGAGCATTCAATTTTAAAAAGTTTCTATTCATTTTCACTTGAATGTGAGGTCTGCCCTTGTAGATAAGGAAGACTGTTTATTTGGTGATTTAAGAGCTTTGATTAGGTTCACACCAAGTTCCACAATTGTAATAAGGAAACTACACACACTTGGGACAGTGTTTAACCAACCAAAGTTACCTATCATTAAAAATGAGTACTCAGGTACGTGTTTAAATTATCTATGTAATTGCCTTGATTCTGCACGTTGTTTTCCTTGCAATTATTTCAAAGAAATGGAGGCGCTCCATTAGCTATTTTCCTGAGAGCAGGAACAGCTCTTCTGGGATAACGTTCTTTGAAAAGTGCTAAGGGCGCACTTATTTATGGACACATCCATTTTATTAGCAACACAGCTGTTTTATTTGTTTGGTACAATATTTTCTTTTGAATTTCTCTTAAATGACTTCTTTTAATAAACATATAATCATTTTATAATTGTTACTGTTTTTCCCCCTTTTATCTGGAAAGTCATACATTAGATACCAAAAGACTATAGGATGTAGAATCACTGTTTTAACTATAGAGCCAGAGATGGAGGAAAAACAATGCAGTTTTATTCTTGCCTGCTGACTCAGAGAGTCCCAAGAGGAGAGAGAGGAATTAAGAGGTTTATTGTTGTTGTTGATATTCATTGGATTTTTTTCAGTAGTGATCTGAATGCATTTCAGGGATGTGGGTAATTTTTAATTTTGAGTGCTTTCACCTACCTTCCCTTGCTTCAGTTGTCATCTCTAAAGTGGGTTATTATATTTCCTTTATCTCCTTAGAGTAATGGACTGAGAAACAAATGACTAGAAAAGGGCTTTTCATTGTGTAAATTACCACTAGCATTGGGTTACCGATTTGGGCAACTAAGGAGGCTCCATTTCCATTTGTCTATGTGATATCAATCAATTTAAAAAATAAGAAACTGCTCAAGTAAAATAATATAAAAAGGTATGACTTTATTGCTTGAATAAAATAAAAGTTTTTTTAAAAAAACAAATACATAACCCATTAACCAGATGTACTCAGGAAATAATTATTGAGTTTTACTGAGTTCTATCACTATGTCTCGCTTTGAAAAGCAGTGTGATGCCATTAATAGAATTCTAAACCCAAGTGGGAGGAAACGGTAAACTTCGAGAAGCTGATTCATTATACCAACACCTTTCTTGCAAATATAGGATCCTACAGTATCAGGAGGAGCACACTTTGTGGTTGTTTATAGAGTGGAAAACAAGACAGGAAAGCAGAGGGGGACGCTTTGTTGATAAGAGCCCCACCTGACTAGAACAATAAAAATAAATTTCTATGGGCAAGCTTTCTCATCTCTGAAATATCTGGATTTTAATTGATGGGCATAACACATGGAAGAGATTAGTGGTCTCAGGAAGAAACGAGTTTGATCCCTAAACAGGTCAAGTGGGAAGGTAGGCGTCAAAGAAAATGTGGTGGGGCTGCAGCTGGCAGAGTAGCCAGTTGCTATCCATTGGCCTAAGCCAGGAAATCACACTACACGGATCCCACCTGCCAACGCCTGTCTGCTGTCCATTTGAAAACAGGTCAAATAGGTGTAGGAATTATGTTGGGGCAGTTACTTCAATTGCTTAGCACATTCATTTGTTACCTGAAAAACAGAAGCTGTCTTAAAGCAAAGATGTGGTTTTGGGATAAATGCAAAACCTGGATGCTGAAATAATAGTTTTTAAAAACATCTGCACTTAAAGAAGGGCGTCAGAAATATAGGTAAGATATAAGGTCTTCCACTAAGGCGTAAAGGAGGAACATTGAGAATGACTTTCAGAAGGCGACCCCTCTGTCCTGCCTGGTTGTGGGCTGAGCTGTCTTGGTGCTGGAAGAAAGAACTGTATTTTGAACACAGTCAGGTATACAGTAGGCACTTCATGGATGCTGATTTAACAAAGTACAGTTGGGCACACCAAATTCATAGTTAAGGAAGCCCGGAATAAGACTTGAGCATCAGTTAGACTGTCTTGAGGAGAAATGAAACGCAGTCAGTCTGGAGACCATTTCCCCTGTCCTGGTGGGACCAGCCAACCTGCGTGAAATCTGGTCTAGTTTACCCCGTCTTCCAGCGGTATCGGGTGTTACCGGTCAGGTTCACCGTCCACTTTGGCCAAAAAAGCTGTTGATTTAGAGGCATCGCATCAGCACCAGCGACGTCCTTCTAGGGGCCTCTTCTCGATCCGCCTTAGCTTTCTGGCCGCCTCTCTCCTGCTTTGGGCTGAAGGGATTCCCACCCCCAGCTGCCTCCTCTGAGCCCCACGGTGCAGTGGACTCCTCCCCTGGAAACTCCTCCAGGGTTGGGATGGCTTTGGCGCATGCTCGGTACCTAGGGCAGGTTTTTGCTGCGGGTAGCAGGGCTCCCGTCACACTGGCTGGCGGTTTGTGACGGTGCCAGCCCGCGTGTGTGCGAGTGTGTCTGCGTGCGTGCCCGCGCCTGGGCGGACCGACCCGGAGCAGCAGTGCGACTCGCCGGGGAGAGGCGGCGTCGCAGAGGCGCCTAGCCTGCGGCCGCGGAGGAAGCCGCGCTGCAAACTTGCGGCGGGCTCCGGCTGCCCTGCTCGCCGCTCCCGCGCCCCTCCACTTAGGGGCACAGGTGCCGGCGCGGTGCCAGGGGCGGCGGGGCCGGGTCGCGCCTTCGTCCTTGGCGGGCGCCCCTGTAGAGCCTGATGCAGCCCCTGCGCTCCCGGCCGAAGCTGCCCGGCTGCCCGGCTGCTGCCCGGCGCAGGTCCGGGACCGGAGCCGCGCTCTCTAGAGTCTGAGCGCCCGGGATGCTCGGCGTCGCCCGACCCGGAGCCGCGTGAGGCGGAGCGCGCCGAGCCCTGCGCCCCGGAGCGCGGGGCGCCCCTCAGCCGCAGCCGCGCCGCGCGTCCTCCTCCCAGCGCCGCCAGCCTCGGGGCGCAGCGGGGCCGCCAGCCAGCGCACGCCTCGGCGTCAGGGGCATGGAGGAGCGGCGGGCTCCGAGCCGCGCCCCGGAGTCCCCGAAACTTCCAAGCAGGCGCCCGTCCGCGCCCCCGCCGCCGCTTCCCCTGCCGGCCTGAGAGCGGGACCATGGATGAAAGGTTCAACAAGTGGCTGCTGACGCCCGTGCTCACTCTCCTCTTCGTGGTCATCATGTATCAGTACGTGTCCCCCTCCTGCACCAGCTCCTGCAGCAACTTCGGGGAGCAGCCCCGCGCCGGGGACGCCCGCCCGCCCGCCGTCCTGAGTCCCGCCCGCCGGGCACAGGCGCCCCCCGAAGAGTGGGAGCGCAGACCCCAGCTGCCCCCGCCGCCCCGGGGGCTGCCCGAGGGATCTCGGGGCGCCGCGGCTCCGGAGGACGAGGATGAGGAGCCGGGGGACCCCGAGGAGGAGGAAGAGGAGGAGGAGGAAGAGGACCCGGACTCCGAGGCCCCCGAAAACGGCTCGGCGCCCCGGTTCCTGCCGCGCTTCAACTTCACGCTGAAGGACCTGACCCGGTTCGTGGATTTCAATATCAAAGGGCGCGACGTGATCGTGTTCCTGCACATCCAGAAGACCGGGGGCACCACGTTCGGCCGGCACCTGGTGAAGAACATCCGGCTGGAGCAGCCGTGCAGCTGCAAAGCCGGCCAGAAGAAATGCACCTGTCACCGGCCCGGCAAGAAGGAGACCTGGCTCTTCTCCCGCTTCTCCACCGGCTGGAGCTGCGGGCTGCACGCCGACTGGACTGAGCTCACCAACTGCGTGCCAGCCATCATGGAGAAGAAGGACTGTCCCCGCAACCACAGCCACTCCAGGTACGGCCCCTGTCCCGCGCTTCTCGCCCCTCCCGCCCCTCTCCCCCGGTGTCCACCCCGCGCAGTCCCGCGCTGGCCCCCTCTTGCCGACGCTCGGGGCAGAGGCTTGGCGTGAGGGTGATGGATGGGACGCCTCGAGATAGAGCAGATCCGCTCCTCTTACCTAGACCCCACTGCTTCCTGCCACCCCGTTTGCACCTTTAAAGGTCTGGAGCCGTCGTTGGCGCGTGACCTGTCCGCGTAGGACGCTGGAAAACCTCTATGGAATGCCTATGGGCTCCAATCTTGCACTTGAGTTGTGCGGTGGGAACCTAAATCGGTTAAAAAGCAGGGGAGCCCCAGGCAGAGAGGCAGGGCAGGAGATTTCCAAGCACGCACGGTGAAGCTGGAAGACTGGGCTGATACTAACACCCCCCCCCCCCCCCCCCCGCCAAGTAGCTCCTCGGAGGCCTCTTTGAACACAGGCGTGCAGATTCTTGCTCTGCCCCAGTAGCCCTGGTTCTCTAGCTGGTCTTTGTGGCCGAGCAATGCCAGCCTTTGGATTCATGCTGTTCTCAGCGAGGTTTCACTTCACCCCTTTGCTTAGGCCTTTCATTAACTTATTTCAAAAGTATTTGTCAGATACCTATACTGTGTATGTGGAAATGTGGTAAGTGGATGCAAAGGTTAAATAAGATCCCCCATTTGTAGGATGGAATGCTCTCTCCCCTTAAGTATAGTAATGGAGCTCCGGTATAGGAAAGTTTGAAATCTTGATCTCCGAGGAAACCACTTACATCATTAACATCCTTGGAGAGAGGCTTGGGCTTGACAGTGTGGTCAAATACTCTTTCTGCCTATTGCAATCCGAAGATTAATCTGACAGGCTCATTCAAGAGGCTGCAATATTAAAATCTTGGAACACTAAGATATTGAAGTTTTTATCTCAAAGATTTCAAACACTCTGGTGTAAGGGTATAGGAATTTATACTCAGCTCAATAGATGCTATCTGATAGCTTTTGCATTTGACGTTGTGGAAAAACTTCACTTATTGGAAACTACCTAGATTTTTGGAATTTGCCATCACTGAAGCATCTAATACTCTTTTATTTCTCCAGGAATGAACAAAACTTCATTGTGGCTTTTTTTTTTAAATTTAGGAAGTTTTTCAAATACATTCCTTGCCAGGGATTTAGCTCAGCGGCATAAACACCTGCCTGGCAAGCGCTAGGTTGTGAATTCAATCCCAGGTACCAAAAAACCCAAACCAAAACAAAAATAACCCTCCAAAACTGTATCAAATACATTCCTCTGCTTGTTTCCCTGTTTCATGGATATTAAAGTAAGAAACAGCTGAATTTAGAATTAGGACATTAGGTTTCTCTGTAGTACTTTTTAAGGGCCGTGTACTTTAAAATATTGTATTGATGTATTATTTTTGAGACAAGGTCTTACTGTGTAGTCCAGGCAGGCCTTGAATACACTGTGTAGTGAATGTTGGCGTTGAATTCACTGTGATCCTTTTGCCTCAACTCTGAGTGCTGGGATTACAAGGTTGTGGTGCCATGCTGGACTGTAATGGCGTATTATTTTATATCTTATAAGAGTTTATTATTTTAGATCTTGCAACTATACCTTAATCAGTTTTTCAGGTACATATTACTTCTAAACTTTCTAACATATGGCACTGTTACCTCAGGAGATTTCTTGTGCTACCCTTCAGCCATGTTGTACTCTTTTATTTTCCATTTTTTTTTTTTTTGTCTTTTTCGTTTTTTCTTTTTTATCGGTACCAGGGATCGAACTCACGACTGCCTGCTTGCAAGGCAGGCGCTTATGCCGCTGAGCTAAATCCCCAGCCCCATACTCTTTTATTTAGATATTACATATTCCCAGGTGACCTGGAAGAGTTTGCTAACCTGCTTTCTGTTTTCCATTCTACTAAAACTGGAGACATCACATAGAGATATCTGATAACTTTTCGGGAAGGACTATTATTAATATTGTTTTTACCAGTGTCCTAGTGAATGGATGAAGATGTTTAGAGAAATTAGAAGAATATAAAATCTAACAATAATTAGATTTCTGCTGAGTGACTAAATGGTGCCACTGCATAGATTGTGAGCAGTAAGATCTCACCTTCTGTAGCAAGTACTGGTGTCTCTCTGTTCTGCAATGTAGAAAAATTCCACCTTGGCTATTTAAACATATGGTTTCTACTACACATTCAATTATTTTTTTAAACTTTGGTGATGAGAGTAAGCTTTCATCTTTTTCCTGAATCACAAATTATCAGGTAATCAACTATCCTACAATAATATTCTCCTGCTCCTCTTCCTCCTCCTCCTTCTCTCCTCCTCCTCCTACTAGTTCTTCGTCGTTGTCTTTGTCTTTTGTCTTCGTCTTCTTCATCTTTTTGAGACAGAGTCTCACTATGCAGTTTACGGTGGCCTTGAGCTCACTTTGTAGCCCAGGCTGGTGTTGAACTCACAGCCATCCTCTTGCCTTAGCCTCCTGAGTGCTGGGCTTGCAGGTGTGCACCACCACACCTGGCTAAAATGATAGTCCTTTTAAATTATTTTCTGGCAATGCTTTGGTACCACATTTTATAATTCTTTTTTCCTTCTCCTTTTCATCCATTCTGCCCTTCTAATAATTCTCAATAATTCTCAATTACTTCCCTTCTCTAGATACTGTAGGAAGGACTTGTTGTGAAATATGTGACATTCCCTGTATCAAAAGCTACAGAGAAAAAGCTGAAGAGATGTTAACAGTAGCATCTTCCTAGCAGAGAAGATTGAATTAGTTGTCTGTCATTGTAATGTCTGTGTACAGCATTCTACAGTCAGCCAGATTAGCCTGGATAATGGAGGCTACATTTCTACAATGCAAAATGGCAGATAATCTATTGCTACATAATGGGAACAAGGTTCTACTTCAAATAGGGCTGACTCTAAGGAAAATTGAGACGTAGATCCTGTTGATTATATTTCCCTAGTCTCTGCTTTTGGTACCCTTCAGCATCTCCTTCCTATTTCTCTCAAACATCAGTGCCCCATGGATTACATAATGGACCAGAGCAAGGACCCTGGAGTCAGTTAGATATGACATTTATTTTTTTAGTTTGTGTAATCAAGGCTAAGTGATTCAGAAAGATTCTTCACTATTAAAGTGTAGATAGTAATTAGGAAGTTCATCACAGGAGTGTAATGCTTAGGCCAGTATATATGCATAATGTAATATACAATACTACTTAAAATTGGAGTATATAGTAGTATTATAATACTGTTTGTTAAGTATAATAAGAATTTCCCTAATCAAAATCTTCTGTCACAAAAGGACCTGAGGTCAGTTCCTTAGAGCAATTCAGTGAAAATGGGTCAGGTTGACTTACAGAGGTACCAGTTTTTGATTATTTGTACTGAGATTTACAATTGAAATTGAAAATTAGAGATATTTGGGAATCAGCCATCATAGGACAGAGGATGAAGAACTGCGGAAGAGGTCACCCACAATATAATACATGTTCTGTTGGTAATAAGAAAAGCTATTTAAAACCGTGAGAAGAGGTAGGAACACTCAGGAGAAAGGCAAAGCGGGAATTCATCTCTGAAAAGGGAAGCATAGGAGAACTGAAGGACCAATCCTGTGAATTACATGGGCCCATGAAATGAGAATCATTCTGGCTGGCAGTGTGGATCCTGCAATTTCTGATCACAGAAATTGATTAGAAAAAGATTGGAAGGTAATAGGAAGATGGCACATCTGGATGACCTGCGTTATCTTATTACAGATGATTTTTCCCAATTATTTTTGTGTCCCCCCCCATTACTTCTTTATATGTTATTCTTCCTTTTCATCATATGCTCCTTTCTGTACTCTGTGTGATTTCCCCATTTATCTCAAACTGAATCTTCAGGAGATATCTCTTTACTGTTGTAAAAACGACTGAAGGAATAATATAGTTCTACAATTGTCATGAGTAATTTCACTCTAAAAAGGAGAAATAATATGATTAAATTCCTACCCAGGGAATTGGTATCTTCATTTGCATAATTATATTCAATGTTTTGTCTACTATGTCTGCAGTCTGTGTATACAATGGAGGGTGTCTTAAGCCTCTACTTATTATGATAGTCCTTTGAGTTTCAAACAGTCTCATCCCTATGGAAACTAGGCTATTGGGGAAGAAAGGCAGAATCCTTGGTAAGTAGATATCACTCTTGTTCTGAGATAATGCTGGACGATATTCCATCCTAATACTCTTGTAGGACAAGATGGTGATTTTTCTCTTTTATGACTCACCTTCCATTAATTCTGTTAAAATAGTTGGAACCCTGTGGATATTGTACTAGGATACGTTGTGCGAAAAGTGATACAAACCTATCTCAAATTTATTTAGCCAGGGAGAAATTATTGGCTTACATAGTTACACCTTAGGATAGGAAAGGGTAGATGTGGTTTCACAAATGACTGGACCTAGAGATTGGTAGTCTTTCTTTTTTTTTTTTTTTTTTTGGTCTTTTTTATCGGTACCAGGGATCGAACTCAGGACTGCCTGCTTGTAAGGCAGGCACTTATGCCACTGAGCTAAATCCCCAGCCCCAGAGATTGGTAGTCTTTCATCTCACAGTCCTTTGCATATTGATCTTATTCTATCAAATTGGTTCATTCCTTAAGGCCTTCATGTCTAATAGCTCTCTAAGGTGACAAGAAAGTAAACTATTTCTGAGTTCTGCTTTGAAACTCTGGAGAATGACTCTGATTAATTTCACGTAGAGCCCTGTGACTTTCAGCAAATCATTACAGCCAGAGTTGAGGTTTTTCTGAACCACCTTGTATCACAGAACAACTTTCATGTCTCTGTGTCTGTCTGTCTGCATCTTGGTCTCTTTCCGTGTCTCTGTCTTTCTCTGTGTCTCTGTCTCTGACTCTGTCTCTCTGTTATATCAGTTGTCAGACAAAGAGAAATTTACTCCTAGGTGGATTAGTGGGCTCAGGACAGACCCTCTAATGGTGT